TGAACTTCAGTGACTCAGTGCAGGTAAACATTTTAATAATGTTATAATGGGGGTTAACAATGTTTATTTCAAATAGGCCTATGTTCTTAATTGTAATAAAATACTGCTACCATCTCCCATCTTTTCAAATCCTGTCTAAGAAATGGCATGAGTGGCACAAGCCAGGAAAGATTGAACAGTTTTTAACAGATGGGATTAGACTTGCCCTTTGTATCACTGCAAATATAAAAAATAAATGAAATTCCAGACAGCCCCCAAGTCGCAAATTAGGCCATTTTGTTATTTTGTTTAGTAAACAAAAATGATTATTATTTTCTGGATGAAAGATACATCCACAGTTTCACTGAGCTTGCTTGTCTTTAGCAAATCAAATCAGTGTTTCTTTGTTATCACTGTCACAGATAACAGATACATTTTTCAACAAATCTATGCCTTTTCCTTTTTCTAAAGCTACATGTTCTCCAATTTACTGTACTCTAATAGTGGTTTCTGTATGGCAGACATACATGTATCTAACAAGAAACATTGTCCAGGATCATGGTGTTAAGACCATGTAGTTGCTACGAATTATGGAAATTAATTAGCTTTTATCTAATGACATATCACAATACTATGGAGAAGGAACTGTCTTAAACCTCTCATTCTTTCTTTTGCATATTTAAAGTCAAGAACCATAGCTGTGAATTAAAAGCAGTCATTAAAAGCCAAGAGCTCATTTATATACAGGTACATATCCATAATGAGTAGACAGACAAGCCATCATAGGGAAAGAAAGACACGTCCAAAAATGACACAAAATCAGGTCAATGCTATGCGTTTTTCCTCTGTTATTACAGGAAAGAACAGACATTCCCTATATGACAATCCAAAATGGTGCCGTTCAATGGTGACGTCTCACGTGTAGCTCTCTCGTTTATGTCGTTTATTTTCGTGTTCTGTCACGCCTTTTGTGTTATGTCAGAGCTTTTCTGTCTTTTCATTGCGTGCGAGGGTTTATGAACACAGTTCAATTGAAGAACAGCACAACGTAAAACAGATGATCTAATGAGCATGTCAAAACTTCTACCTTGTAACACTTGCTTAAACTGGCCATTACCTGTGCTTAAGAATGTTTTTTTATTTTGTTGTTTATTGAACAGGGAAAGGGAATTCTGGCATTCATAAGTGCCTCATAATGCAAATTCACGCAACTGGCAATACATCTGAAGCTTTTCAAATAAGTTAATCACTGTAAGACTTGCAGATAACTAGTGTCTAAAGTAAGTTTGCAGTAGCTCATTTGCCTTTAGCAATATGTTGTCTGGTGCACAACAAAAATCAGTAAATTGTGAGGCACCACAAAGGACTTGAAGTAGAGCTATCCCATGGAATTAATACACACTGTGGAGTATTTGCTTTAGTAGGCCCATTTGACCATTATTATGTAGAATGTTTTTGAGATGAGACAGTGACAAATTCAATTGGACCACTATTTTCTTAGTGACAGTAGCACCCACTGTCCTGTCACACATAGAGAAAAAAAATATGGATGACAAAATTCATGGTTTTTGTAAGACATCACAAGTACTACTTTCTAAAGACTGAGCTGAAGAAAAAGAAGAAGAAAAAGGGGAAGAAATTCCCTTTTCAGTCCTGTAAAACTACATTTTGCACCTTCGCAGCAACCCTGTGAACGAGCTCTAATATTTTTTTTAATTAAAGTGTCATTACTCTTTCATCCCATATTTTCCACTGGGTTTTTTTGTGAGAGAAAGGGAAATTGTTGACATTGAGGTTATTGTCTTCACATTCTCAGCATTCTTACAGTATGTAGTGGTGCGCTTATCTGTGGACATATTAAGATCTAGTGACTCTCTAGTCCCAATTATTATTTTGGGAATGCGCTCTGCAACATTCCAGACTTATCAACCAAATAAGGCTGCAGAATAAAACAAACATGCAAACACTATTTTAAACTTTAGGACACTGGCAATAAAATCAATTGAACTTAATGTGTCTACTTTTTCTATACTTTCTTTTAAACCAATGCATTTTGAATGCTAAATATTCACGACAAATGCAAACATAAAAAATGAGTTAAGTGTGTTTGTAAGGCTTATATAGTGTTTTTAATTAAGTTTTAAATCAGTCATCTTTTGTAGTTCCCAAATGGCACTAAGTGATGAGTCTGTCTCAAAAGTAATATTAAGTTGAGACCATTATATATTCTGTCACAATAATGTTCATTTGCCAGCGGAACAGAAATGCCGTAGTTGAAGGACAAGAAAACAACATTTGCTTCTCAAATGTTAGGGTGGTGGCTTTTTCCAGGGTGAGGTTAAGGCAATTTTAGAAAAGGTCCTGTCGACACCTCTGTTGCAGCACCTGAATGACAAGGAAATGCAGTTTTGTTTTTTTGTAGTCATCTATTGGGGGGTGCTTCAAGTGAAGCAGAACTTTACTGATAGGTTGCAGTGGGCAACACCTTAAAAAAGAGGAAGTTTGACTTTGATATAAAAGCCATAACTTAGACCGACAAATCCAAGTAAATGAAATGGCCTGTTTACAACAGACAGATCCGTACTTTCCCTTAATATTGTTTGCTGGTCAAATATTTAACAGTTCAACGTTTTGAATCTATGTAAAATTGAATAACGTCAATCTAAAGCTTAAATGAAAATGTAAATCCCCAAGACATTAGATGGTACAACAAGCAAATATAACATTTTAAGAGGAATTATACCCTTGTGGATTATTCATATACAGTAGACTTACAGGATAATACACAGAATTTTCAATTCATAAATAATAATTTGTTTAAAATTTGTAAACGGCTATGTTAAAATGTTTAATTGCACTGTATATCTTTTTAATAATGATTTCCTTCTGCTTACATATGTTTCTTTTAGATTTCTGCTGATTTTTAAAAGTGTTAATATCTGCATGTGTTCTCACAAAAGATAATATGTTTATTTTTTAAGTTAGCAGGTCACACTGCACCAAGCTTAGTATTCACTATGAATAAGCAAACCATAAATAATCAAACCATTAATACATTTTTTGGTTTTATATAGGTTTCAAGAACCCCTTTTCCATGAGCTGACAGAAACATATTGCATTCTCATTAATAAAATCGTGTTATTAAAAATTACATGAACTGCTACCTCACATGTTCGGTTAAAGAGCTGTCAGAAAAAAAAAAACGCCTATTCAAGTTCAGCAGGTTTGTTAAGTTATAGCTTGCTCCGCTGTGTGGAGGACAAGAATTTACCAATGTGAATTAGTTTTTCAGGGTAGCACATTATTTGCACAAATCCTGTTAAAATGTTTTTTAATTTTTCATATATCACTTTTGTGCAACTACAAACAAGAAGGCTTTTGAGCCACTGGCTTTAATTTCTGCTGGAAAAATAATAACGTTTAAGTATACGTTAGTTTGTAAAAACTGTATGTTCACAAGAGACCTTTATACAGTTCCTAGAGGTCCTAGGAGTGATCAAAATTACACAGACATTTTCAATTGTCGCAAGGAACTAAATCTTTACCTCCCTATAAAGCCACATGTTTGGGAGACAGAGTGAGGATAAGACTATCTGCAAACTGAATTCACAACTTCCCACACTGCGATGGTCAGAAAACAGCACTTTACATTGATATCCGCAAAAGGACCCTTTTTCATAACTTGTTTTTAACCACAAGGACCTTCACCAGGAATAAGTGGCTTTCTGATAATAGATGGATGGGTCTATAATTGTCAGCCATCACAGAGCCACCAGTTAAGTGTTTATTTTGTGAAAATCTCCCTAGAACATTACTCACTGCATTACCTTCCCACAAGCTCATTTTAAATGCAACAGTTTCTTAATGCATCACTAGCTCTGCATATAGAGATGCATTTCACTGAACTTTTTAACATTTCCCATAGAAACCAATTAACAGGAGAAAACCGGAGTGCTAAAGGGCTTGGAATAAAACAAAAACCTTAGGAAAGGGAGTCATTTTGGTAAATCCTAAGTCTTTTTGGTTTCACAAAAGATCCCATCTTTAACTATACTATGCAAATAATATATACAGTGCAGCATCTCATAATCCTTCACTGCATCACAGCTGCATCCATGTAAATGGTCAACGCTAACATCCGTATATAAATCAATAATTGCCCGGTGGTTTTTTAGAAACTACGTTTTCCACTGACCTTCCTCAATTGCAGCTAAAGGTCTTAAAACTTTACAGCAGCCTTATATCAAGAACACAGTATCAGAAGCCTTGGGATTTGTTTATATTATAAAGTTATTTCTATTCTTTCAGAAGAACGTTCGATTTGAATTACGAAGTTTCGAGTTGTTTATCCAGTACTGTATGTCCATCCACGAGAAAAACATTCTTTAATAGCAGTAAAATTAAAGTTACTTGTCACTTTGACGCCAAAGTTACTATTTTAAAATATTAAAGCATCAGTTTGTCTGAGACGTTAGGGAATACTGACCAATTTCAATTGCAACAATCAGGAGAAAGACATTTAAAATATTTAAACAAAATGACAATACACGAACGTCACCGGTGTGCCCACTAAAGCTGAACATACAGTATATAGTATACAGTATTTACACATCATTAAAGGGTATACATTTACAAGAAATGTTAGATGTACAAAGAACAGGCGCACGATTTTGTAGATTTTAAAGAGCAGGAATGACGTCTGTCATTAACATCAAAGCAATTAATTTGGAAATCATTTCAGCGTGGTCGTAGACGGATTAGTAATAGACATCTGTTGAACATGTGCCTACCGAATACAAAACGGGTCAGTTGTGAAGTTTTTTCCAGTTTCCGTGGAGTATCCTTTCATCTAAATTACTCTTCCCAAATCGTGTGTACGGTATCAACAGTTTCTCCCTACATATTCCCTCAGTACTTTCCTCACGCACATTACAATTACTGTTACCGTGTGTGCTGTGGGGAAGTCACTACTGGTCCTGTACCGTACAAAACGCATTAACGTCTGACATACTGTACAGTACCTTTAAAGTCCCTCGCAACGTCTCGGCTCTTCGGATCGCTGCAGACTTAAGACTCTCTAGAAAGGTTTCATCGAGCCATTATCGCGAAGGTGGAGTCTACACCTGGGAAATAGACTTTCATTGCCACCTGGAGCACATGTCCTGCCCTTTTACGTAATTGACAAATACCGTACACCAAAAAAAAAAAAATGCAGAAAGGTGATTCAAGCTAAAGTTTACTTGGAAACGGTGAGATGCAGATCTCGAAGGCTAAAAAAAAACAGACATACAGTACTGCATCAGAAAACGCTTCCTTAAAAAATACCCTGCGTAAGTTCTCTGTAGGAAACCCGAAGGAGTTTTTTTTTGTGAAGGCCAGCTCTGATGCCTTTTGAGCAAAGAGCTTGTGTATAAAGTAGTAAGATGTAGAACAATGGTGACTGGAAGAAATTCTCTTAAAATTACGTGTTATTTGCTACAAGAGCCAAAATTAAGTGCTATAGTAATTGACAATAAAACTATTTAATTTTAATGGTGGCAGCCCTAGCAAGCCAGGTTTACAGCGTGCAAATTGCATGTGCATTATCCTCACAAACGCAAACTAGCCTGATCATTCTTGGCTTTCAATTAGACTGAGCTAGTGTAGACAATAATGCGCAATGAATTCATAATGTATGCATATATTCACAACCACTCAAAAGCCTTGACTAAAAACACGTACCAAAACTTTTAAATAAAGAACTTTGGCCGATTTTTTAAACCACAAAAAATTAATTATCGAACTGAACATTATAATATCATAAGTGTAATGAAACAGGAAGAGTTTTTTTTTCCCAGTCCCAAAGCTTCAGAATCTTGAGGACTCATTGATCTACCGTGGAAGCAAAGACCAAGGTTCAATGTGTCTTCATTTATCACCTGTTCAGGTTAAACATTAGGCGACGTTGTGAGGCCACTTTGATATTTGCAATTCTTGACATTCCCAGTTGTCTTCGGATGCAGAGTATGTACTTAATGATATATTACAAGGACTGCATTCCTCTCTCAAGCAGAAAATATTTTAACTGACATGACAGTTACCAAAAATATTACATGACTTTTTAAAATGCACATACAACAGGAACCCACGCTCCCTTTCAGGAATGCAGAAAATGTGTTTCCCTGTATTTTTGTTAATGTCAACGTTTACCATACTGAATAGTACAAAGAAGAAAAAAAACCTCCCCTCCCTCAGTCATGTGGGGAGTGGTGTGAGAGAGCAGGAGTATTATGCAAAGGGGTAATGGGGAGAAAAACAAAAGATACTGTAAGAATGGGTAGGGGGAGTTGACCAAAAGTAGAAATCTGTTTATGAATAGAGAAATTTAAAAAAACAGTCTATGATTGAGAACTGGGGAAGGCGTGAGCCTAGTTTAAGAATGATACGCCTGACTATGAACATGCAGTTTACAAGGAATAACGCCCAAGACTTACTGTAGATGCGTTTCAGGGTGTTTATGGTGTAGTTTGAGTATACTGACACTTGGTTTAGTTTAGCCACCTTGGCTTGGGAACAGCTACCTGGTCATAGGATGAGGAGGTCCAGCCTCTCATACAGAATGAGGTGTTAACCAAGGGCTAGCTGCAAAGGTGGATATGTGGTGAAATAAGGATGCTGTACGGAAAAGGCAAAAAACAGGACTTATGCATGTGATATACTGTACTGGATTACGATTCTAAACAGAAAGGGCATGCCATTTCTTGCTTGGTTGTCATCACCCTTCCCGAACTTCACTTAAGAGCTTCCATTAATTTCATAATCATCCCTAAAGCGGTTTCACACTTTCACACAGCTCTCACTGATCATCTTATTACCTTCAAGGAAATTTCTCCATTTATTTGTGGCTTTCTACCTTCCTCATTCTGCTCTGCTCATGCACACTGGTACAGCTGCCCACTCGAACATCTGTATTGAACAGTACTTGTTTATGCTCAACAACATCACGTTATGTATTCTACCTACTCTGTGATCACTTTCTGATTTACAGGATTGCATTTTGGATGGCACCTTAGAATGAGTCACTTCAGGTTTGACAGTCAACGGAACATTTCATAATCTTTATGAGGCATGCGATGTGAGTCATTATTTAAGAAGTACCTTGGTAAATCTAGCACTGCAATTAATAAGTTTGGGTTACTAAGTTATTGGCATTTCAGTCACATTCTAATTATGACAGAATAATGCAGAATAGAATTAGATTGATTTATTGGCTTAACCCACCTGCATCACATCTCCCTCTTTTTTAGACTGGTGAACCACTGAACTACTACAACGACCATAATGGCTTGGAAGGAGGAAAGTGAAGTACCAACGTGCATGTATGTGTGTGGGAATCATGATACCTCTACTTTGTGGAAGTGAAGGGGTCAAGGTTAGGGTTTGACCTGCTCCCAAAGTTCCATTAAGAGAATGTTTACTATGTAAGTAAAAACCGAAGGAGAAAATACGGACATCCAGCCATTTTCTAACCACTTTATCCAGTAAAGTGTCATAGGGGAGCCTAACCCAGCAAGCCCATTGCAGGACACACAGAGACACAAACACATCCACATACACACACCAGGGGCAATTTTCCTAGAAGCCAATTACTCTACCAATATGTTTTTGGACTGTGGGAGGAAACTAAAACTATACACACAGATTTAGTGCTTAAATAGAATGCTGTAGCTCTTGTGCATTTTTAGTTTTTTTCTAACTCATTTAGGGATAATAGGATGTGCATAAAATGTATGTATTTACAGTACCATGGTGCTCTTTTATCCTTGAATATTGCTTACAGTCTCCAAATCAGTCAGCTAGAATTACAGTAGATTTCCACACTTGGCTGTGTGTGGAAATTCACAGGTGAGTCCCTGAGGATCTTAAATTTTGCATCCAGTCTTCTAATTGCTCAGATGTATACACCAATAATCCCAAAACAGGCACTTCAGGGCACAAGAAAAAAGGTGTACTAGAAGAACAGACATTATTAGACTAGTTTAATCATCATTACGGGTGATCTAACTAGTAATGACAGCAGCAGGATGAATTCTGCAAAAAATGCATTCATAATTATTGGGGGGTGATTCACCACACAGCATTACAATGATTCCAATACACCAAAGCCAGGAGTTCATCAGGAGAAAAGTCTTATAGGATACTATATAGGTCAATCTTTACATTTATTTTCAGGTCAATCTTTACATTTATTTTCAATCTATTTGAGAGTGCATTTCATGTGATGATGCACAAATTAAAGTCAAAACACCCCAAGAACAGCCAAAAACCCAAGTGGCTGCACCCAAAACAACTTAAACAATTTGACAAAGAGTTTTGCAAGCTCAGTAGGGTTGCCTTATTCATGCAGTTGTTGCCTCAAAAGGTTAAGCAACAAAATACTTTTCCGCTATATTAAATGTGACAATATTTATGATCGCTTGAAATCACTGGGTTGGATACATGCATGAATGGACATACTCCAAAATTAAAACCCATATTATATTGTACTTATTCACACTAGTCTCATGATCACAAATACAAATTGCTTCACTGTAAAGCAAGCATTGCACTTTTAACTTTGCTATCCAAATATTTGTGGATTGCTTTTCTTCTTTGTAAACACCAGTGCTGACACTATACATCAGCCATTTCCCTTCATTTGTATTTGTCTAGAAGTTTCCCATTATTATCTTGTAGTAGTTCAGGTGGGGGGCTGCGTCAGCATGCGTAGGCTTCAAAAGAACAAGTAATAGGTTTATTCCATGCTGAAAAGAGAAGAAAGAAAACACAACGTTTCGGCCGTGGAGCCTTCTTGACACACCTGAAGAAGGCTCCACGGGCGAAACGTTGGGTTTTCTTTCCTCTTTTTTTCAGCATGGAATAAACCTGTTATTACCTGTTCCTTTGCAGCCTACGCATGCTGACGCAGCTCCACACCTGAACTACTCCAAGATAATAATGGGAAACTTCTAGACAAATACAAATGAAGGGAAATGGCTGATGTATAGTGTCAGCACTGGTGTTTACAAAGAAGAAAAGCTTTACCTTTTGCTTTTTTGTACTAAAATATTAAATAACTTGTAATTATTAGTTTTATCCGCCATTGCAATACCCCATCTCAGTATCCTATTTTTTACCTGTGCTTATAATTCGTTATACAGTATGCTTTTTACCTGGGTTTTCCATTTTGACCATTTGATATTTATTATGCATATTTTTATTAATTGCATTTAATGCATGTCTAAAAAGTATACTAAAAAGTATGAAAATCTTTTTGTATTTCTTTTCCTGCTTTGACAACCTTTACACATAAACAGTGACAGTAAAGACTGCAAGATATGAGTGATGGATTACACTATTTTGCCAATTTGACTCACATAAACATTTCCTTAATATGCATGAGAGCCTCATCACAGTCAATATGAAATAAGTTAAATGCGTGCAAAACCTGACATTTCAGCAGAAACCGAAAAATCAAAACTTAAAAACTGATTCTAGATGTATTTAATCTCTGAGCCAGTACTTGGTGACATCACCATTGTCTACAATAACAGCTGCAAGTCTTTTAACATAATGCTGCCACAATCTTGCTTAATGCTTAGTAATAGGGATGGCATCAACTGGCTGATGTGTGTAATGCATTATCAATTCAACCATATATTTTAAAGCTGCTTACTCCTGAGGGATTCCCGGGCCTTCCTAGGGCATCTGAGAGATATAATCCCTCCTGCATGTTCTGGGTCTGCTCAGATGTCTCCTCCCACTCCCACAAGTAACACAAATGGTAAGTTAATTAAACTAATATTATATCAAATATAATATCATTACATAAAGTAGGCAGGTCCCCTTTCAAGCTGTAAAGGCCTGTGGGGAATGGGGGGCAAGGGCCACCATTTTTCTCAACCATTTTGGCACTGGAAGTGGAGGTTGTGTGGTTAGTATAACACTCTGGCCAGCCTGTTACCCCCAGAAAGATTAACCGCTGGTACTCATTTGGAAAGCAGGCGGAGTGGACCCGAGAGCTATCTGGAAGGAATAAAAGCAAGCAACGTTACTTGTCTCTACCTGGGATT